TGAGAAAGGCTGTAATGAGAGGAAGGGAAAGCGGGGAGGAGTCGGAGAGGACTTTATTGTCAAACTGAGGACCTTAAGCTTTTAATCTGTCCTTGCTGAATCCGGATGGCTTACAAAACTGGTATTGGACGATTACTTTTTTCTCCAATGACTGAAATGTTTATGGACCGTGATATTTTAATATGTACAATTTCAGTATTAGCATAATGGATGTTTGATATATTTTAGCCATTCTTGCGGTCAGACTATCACTTTGGACCAGATTTAAATAACTCAACAACTTGATGGATTGCTGGACTTGACGGTTTTGTGCAGACATTCATGGTTCCCAGAGGATGAGTCGACTTCTCCTGTAGTACCACAATACAACTGACATTTGTGGTGTTGAGTTAAATGTCAGTTTGTCCAGTACTTTGATTTATGACCAAATATCTACTGACATTCTAATGACATTCAGCCTCAGCTGCTGCAGTATAAATATATAAATATATATGAAGACGTTTATATTTTATTATGAATATTCAACAAATACCCTCCTCCAGATTGTCTGTTCCTGCTGGCATACTGTTTTGTGGCTCGTCTGGCTGTATCGAATAGTTAGAAGCTTCATTTGTTGACATGTGGAGTGTCCATGTAGCGTTTTTTTCTAAACACCAGCGTCTTTTTTCAGAGCGCTCCAACCTTTTTGCGCTTCCAGATGAAACTTTACAGAAAAGTGCTGCGCTCCCTATCGTCCTGTCAGCGATATGGACACTCACCCTGACAGAAATATTGTGCATAATGGTGACAGTCCACCTTCTCTTCCCTTCTGTCTCTCGCTGCGATGCATCCTCGTCTCTGTATTTGTCAGGCTTCAGTCTGCGAAGTGATCTTTATATTGACAAATGTCACATGTGGAGTTCATGGGACAATTCACGGGATCAAGAAATATATATATATTGCAACAAAGCAAATAAAGTAGGCTTATTATCCAAAATGTCTATCTGTCCCTTTAAAAATATACAAACAAGCAAATATATGAATGAGTGAATGACACTTTTTTTAAAATGTCTATATGAATGCTGTGTTTTTCCTCACCAGACCCCGCTGTGGCTAATGTCCAGATGACCAGACTGACCCTGCTGTGTGATGAGGCTCCTGAACCAATCACCATGGACCTGACAGGTACGCAGTGCTTCCCTTCCATCACTCTTCTGTTTGTTCCTCTCTATCCAGCCTTACTTTTCCTCCTTAACCCTGGCTAGCTGTGGTATGGTGCTGCTACAGCCTCGCACCCTGTGAGGTGAAACATGCCGCTGATACGCCCCGGAGCGAGGCGTCTCACCCCACGTTCTGCCTTTTATGTGCAGAAAGACTGCAGTGGGTGTGTCTATGCTCGGGAGAGCAGAGACAGACAAATGTTTGCTTAGTGGGCTGTATTGACATCTTCCCCTGGGTGCAGGCAAAAGCGACAGTCAGAGTGAGGTGTCTGTAAGTTCACGTGTATGTTAGTGTGTGTGTGTGTGTGTGTGTGTGTGTGTGTGTGTCTGTGGTGCATGGTAATCAGGTGGCTGCAGAGAGATTATCAATCCCTACAGGGGATAAAGTTGAGGAAGGGATCGATGTGTGTGTGTGTGTGCATGTGTGTGTGCATGTGTGTGTGTGTGTAGGTTCACCTATCATTGACTTGTGTGTCAGGGTGTGTCGACGGGACAACAGTAGCTGTGACTGTGCCTGTCCGTCCGTGTGTGTGTGCTTTGCTTTGTTCTGGTTTTTCCTTGTCTGAGGCATCTCTGTACCGCATACACAATAACACACACATGCACATTCACGCACACACAAAGACACAAACACAGACTGCTAATAGGAAAGGTCACCTGGTTGCTAGGCAATACTGACTTTGTACTACATGCAGTCTTCTCTGATTCAAACACGGAGCGTCCAGCAGCCTTTAATGTGCATGTTTCACTGTGTAATGGAAGATCTGCTGATCTTCACTAAACTGAGAGAGCGCGCTGCTCCTCCACACCAGACAGATGCTTTCAGATCTGATCGCAATCATAGATGATGGAGGAAGTGAGAGGTGGATGGAAAATCAATTGTGTAATCTCAGCTTGGACTTGGACAATTTTTTTTAACAGAAAGACTGCATTACGTACTGGGGGAGGGGGGGAGGAGCACCTCATGGATGATACACGTGAAGTTCAGTTGACTCGACACAAGGAGGACAGATTAGAAAAACAGTTGTAAGTGTGAGGTCTTAGTGATGTCATCAGGATTATAGGTGACTATCTGAAACCAAAGGTTTACTGCTGACGCGCTGGCCGTCAATGATTCACAGATCCAGTCGCTGAGTTTTGTAGTTTTATTTGCAGAAAGAACAAACGAATACGTGTGGTGGAAACCACGCGTCCAAAACGTTCCAAAGAGTTTTACAAAGGTGATCAACAGAGGTCAGCAAAAAATAAGACTCCCTCTATCACCAGCTCTCCTTCCACTGACGAAACTAAGACATTGAACAGCTGATATCCCCATTGCTACCAATGTCAAGAACACGTGACTCAATTACCGTAAATGACCAAATACAGGCTGGTTCCTACAAGCAGGGTCTTGAGAGTCTGCATTACAAACTGCAGGTGGGGATGTTCATCAGCCAGGAATGGTCTAATGAAAGACGCTGTCCAGTTGCATTATGGGGAATGTAGAATGCAATGTTTTTGAGCTTGACCTATATTAGGGACGAAAAGTCAGGACCAGTCTTTGCAACCAGTGTTGTTGAGTTATTTTAGAAATTATTTATTTTTTGATCTTATGTTACGTTGTTTACGTTTTACTTTATTTATGAACCGTGATGTTGTTGTTGTTGTTTGAATTCACCACGTTAACCACGCCTTTCACATGCTGGGCGACCCAGTGCATTAGAAAGGGACGCCAACGTCCCAGAACAAGCTTCAGTATGTGACAAGATGGGAAGAGTACGTGTTGGTATGGGCTTGTTTCGTCAAATTTGTAGCGTGAGATCATTTTGTTTTACGTTAATTCCGACATGTTAACAATCAAAATTAATGGCATACTTGTATGAGCTTGGGAGTGATGTCAGTCCAATACAGAAAGTGCTCTTTGACAGTCGGAGGCTCTTTTAGAAACAGTGTTGTTTGTCTCGTGCAACTGGAAAAACCTGATACTGAACTACTCCTCATAATTTCCCTGGAAGCCGTTCAAATATGTATCAGGTTTAATTTGGATGAATGTGTGTGTTTGTGTTCATAGAGCTAAAGAGAAAAAAGGAGAAATTGCTGAATGCTGCTGTGTGAGAGAAAAGCATCTTTCATCATGAATCTATTGAGTAAGCAGCGGGGTAATAATCGCTCCTGCTGGTGTCTCGTGTTGCAGTTAGATAGCCGAGCCGGCACCAGGCTGGATGTGAAATGGACTTTCCATCGGTGGCTGAATGCATTAGAGACCTCATTATACACTATCGGCTGATTCCAATGCAGCACGGTGCCCTAAGTGATGACGAGCATTTACTACTGTGTGTGTGTGTGTGTGTGTGTGTGTAAGAGAGAGAAGGGGGGGGGGGTACATTGCACCACAGTAAAGGTGATTGCTCCACAGTTTGAAAGTGTAGAAGCGAAAAGAGACTCTCCCTGCAGGCTGGACTGGTTGTCCCATCAGAGACCTTTAACTACTGCGAGGTTGTTTGGGTTCGTGTCGACGTCTCCGTTCACAACTGTTCCCTCGTGCACATCCAAGCTATCAGAGACAAAACTCTCACAGTTTATAATTTATAATTTATATCTGCTGAAGCATTTACAACTAGTTTTACTTAATTATATTCCAGTAAAACAGTAATTCATGACCTAAAATAGCTAAATTGCGTGGTTCTGTTCATCCTGTAATACTGTAAGAATCTATCCCAAAATCTTATATAAAATTCTGGTTAATTATTACTTATTATTTTCATTGAGCTCTAAGATCTACCTTAGAAACACAAGTAATGTTATTGTAAATCCATCACAGATCTCACTGTACTGTTGTACAGGTTTCCTTTGCACTGAGGTTTTACTACTGACAACATAAGAGAGCTCTCACTTCCTGTTTTACCTCCAACTAAAGTGGTTCAGATTATCTTTTTTTAAACTGTTGGCTCTTCTGATGTCTGATCTTCTTGACCGCTCATATTTTTCTTGCCTCAGATCATCGCCTCATGACACTTCCTCCTCCTCATCCTGAACTCATCTCTTCGTTTTTTGCTCTAGAGATCATTCGGTGTATCGCCTTCTTTTTATCAGCACTGCTACCAGACTATGACTTTCCTTTTAGATTCATTCTTGCTCTCAAGAAATTGCAGTTTTGTTGTTGTTTTCAGTCGTTGCTTGTGCTTAGATCAATGGCCTGAACATTGATTGCATTTAAACACAAAAACACATTTTTATTGTTTCAGGCTGAGCTGGCAGCACAAAAACAACTTGTAATGTGTCGCTGTGTCTCCGTGGAAAAAAGCAATACGACTGCCAGAGAGGCGGATTTATTGCCCAATGGGGGCACCCATGCAATAACATAGGCACAATGCTGTGACCTAGTTTGGCTTGAACAAACATTTCATATACGTATATGTATGTAGCCTACATTAGACATCAAATAAACATAAATCTAACATTTTACTAGAAAACATTCTGTAAATCATTATTTCTGTGTGAGATCATTTTACTCCAATACTACTACTTGGCTCGTGTCTTGAGTTTTTACATTCTATTTCTCAGTAGATAAACACACACAACCATATGTCTGTGCTATAAGGTTCAATACAGCGCTACGTAGTGTTTCAGTATCCTTGGCTATGACTTCTCAGTGCTTTCGTGCTCTAACCGTAATCACTGGCTTTGTTAAGCTTCCATGTTCCCCGGGTTCAGGGGCGTTTTGCTGAGCATGCATGCTGCTACACATCTACTCAGTCACACACTGTTGTCACACACACACACACGCCAAGCATGCAGCCTCTTTATGTCGACCACTGATATTAACCCCACATTTATTGTGTGCTGGGGGCCTAGTATTATGTCATTCGTGACCAATTTAACGGTATTCTTATTGTGAACTTCACCTAATAATGGGAGGAAAGTTTGTGAATAGAAAACTGTAAATTAAAGTTTAAGTAGCATACTCATTAGGCAGAACGGTCCTTCGAGTGTTCAATTATTATATATTTTAAAATAGACCACCATTACCACCGTTTAATGGTACCGTTACTCTTTTTGTCGTTATGAGCGTGTTAGCATGCTGACGTTAGCATTTAGCTCAGAGCACAGCTGTGCCTTATAGGATAGCCGCGCAGAGCCGCTAGCATGGCTGTAGACTCCTGCTATGTGGCCGACCAAGGAGGAGCTGTTATTACTCTAACTACTTTACACACTGTTGGGTAGTTTAATATACAAGAACACATCACATTTAGTAAGTGAATCATGTATTTTGAATTAAGATTTAAAGTCTCAAGCAGCAGCTTTAAACATAAACAAATTAAACAGTTGTTTTTTGCCATGTATTGTTAAATAGGGCACAGAGTAAACTAGCAGGGTGTAGCGGGAATTTTTCAGTTGATTTATTCCCTAATATTTTAATATTTCGTGGCATCGGTGCAATATTTGCCAAGTGTGAGGTTCAGCTGTGTGTTCAGTGTGTGGATTTCACCGTGCATGTGCATCTTTGCATGCATACTCTGTGTGTGTGTGTGTGTGTGTGTGTGTGTGTGTGTGTGTGTGTGTGT